ATGAAATTAAATCAGGAGATAGGGTACTAAAGGACAAAGGAGGAAGTGAAGAACGTCAAGGCGCTGACATAGTACTTGGGGTTTTATCACATAATTAGAACTTATTAATTGTTGCGCTCCTTGCGTTTGGCTAGGGGGTAGAAAAGAGAAAACTCCGGAAGACGCGAAACTCAAAAAAAAAAAAAGACTAGCTGTTTTTCAACGATCGGGCATTTAAGTAGTGACCACAGCATCATTACCTGCACAGGCGTATTGCAATGCATTACGTGTTTAAGCAAAAAAGAGTGGGGCCCCTGTCTCCTAATAAAAAGCTAGATAGCTGGAGATTACGAAGCTATTTGTATAATAAGACAGCTAGGAGAAAGAAGAGGCCAAATGCAGGTCTCCGAAGAGTAGGGAGATTGTGCCCGAATGCTACTATAAACGCCCCAATGTTACGTGATGTTCATACTTTTGATAAAAGAAATGTGACATCAAGAACAACGCCTGGGAATAAAAATTCAATTCTTCTATCGATATTTGAATGGACAGAAAATGAAACATTGCCCGTGTGCACGTAATTTCAGGCCATGGTAAATATTTCCCGGTAGTAGAAACTTGTGAGAGCATCGCTCAGTGGCGAAATTTTTTCACGGACTAAAAGACCAAAAAATATTGGCAGCATATCCACGGAGTCAATGATGGAGAGTGGGGCGAAGCATTCGTCTGTCCATTCGTTCTTGCTTCCGTCCGTCCGTGCGTCCGTCTGTGTGACCATCCATGCGTCCATCCGCCCGTCCGCGCGTGCGTCTGTTCGTGCGTCCGTCCCTGCGTCCGTCTCTGCGTTCGTCCATGCATCCGTCCCTGCGTCCGTTCATGCGTATCTCCATGCATCCGTCCCTGCGTCCGTTCATGCGTCTCTCCATGCATCTGTCTGTGTGTCTGTTCGTCCATCTAGTCAACACTCCAAGTACCACAATCTCGCATCTTTTCATCATATATTCCCCATATAGAAGCACCGCCATCCAGCGGACATTCCAAGGACTCAACGAGAGGGGCACACGCACACTTTCTTACGGCTTGCGCTTCGTGTCTACTTCCCACCTTTATCCACCTCGAGTTCATGGTATATACTAGTTCACTGTAATCATGGCACTGTGGCCCAACGCTCGCTAAACCTTTCTAAAACCAAGGAGGTTACGCCCAGCGAGTATAACGAAGCAACCCTTTCTTGTTGTCTGTGCGTTGTTGAGCAATGAAAAAAAAAGTGTAAGGCCCACGGGACGGCTTCATTCTCTCGCATAATAGACCCCTTTCATAATTTGCAAGTGTGCTTCTCGGCACTGCATCTCTGCCCTACTATTGGCGGCACCTGCCCTACTTCAAAGGAAGACCAGGTCCTAGTTAAACACGCTGGGGCTCGTCTATTACGTGCAGCAATGTCGAGATAGTTAAACCTACATTTTCCAAGTCTTAGTGCAAGTAAACTGCGCTTGAACACTCTGTTTACAAGAAGTGACTAACCGCCATTAGTAGGACAAACTGCATAGCAGGAAAGCTAGCTTTACAATTACGAAAAGGGTCTATAGTGTACCAAGTACTCTGAAAAGTTAGCCACTTTTTCTAACCTTGCTGTAATTGACTGCTTGATGTAATACGAGTTTGCGTATAGTGGCCATGAGTTCGGCCAATTAAAGAGCTTCATCTTGCATACACCGACTGCTGACTTCATCAAAGTCATAACCCCGTGACAATGTGTGTTGATTTTACGTAAGGATGTATATTTGTGACGTATGTTCTTAATGTTGCATCAACCCCTTCCAAAATGTATACCACGATGCATCTGAGAAATAAATTAATAAATAAATAAATAAAAGGTGTGTTAAGGCGGAAAATAAAATAGACACAAAAGCTTATCTGTACACGCGCAGGTATACGCAGTGGCTCATGTTAATCCGGCAGCAGCAGTGCGTCTTTTGAGTTCTTAATGGGGTTTGGGCTGTCACAAAAGAAACTACTTGAACCATGGCCTGAGATGCATCTCCAGAAAAAGGCAATAATCTTCCTGACAGACTTTTTAGTGGAGACCGGACAGGACAAGCGCCTATGACAGACAGCCAGAGATGGGTATAATACAAATGTGGTCATGTATTAGTGACATTAGATTAGTAAGGTGTGCGTGTAAGTAGTTTATGACTGTGTGAACTGCACGAAGAAAACTGTGCATTGGCATGATATTTGGACTGGTTTCAGTGTGCTATTATGTTTTTTTTCTTTTCCGTATTGTTAATTTTTGGGTACCGTTCTGTATTATTATTTTATTTTTTTGCTGCAGAACTTTGTGATATGGAGTAGCCGAGGCAATAGGCACCTCAACCTCTCCACAGCAAAACAGTTAAAACAGAACAGAACAGAACAGAACAGAACAGAATATCTTGTGTCCGTGTTTGATAACCGACCTTCGTTTGTAATAAATTCGTCCCAAGGCACTCAGCTTTATGCTGTTCTAACATCTATATTCGAAATGTTCAGCGTCGAAACGTGCTCAGCAGACAAAGCAGCGCCCGGGCGGAGCACGGTAGACAAGCATTGCGATAGCCCTTGTCGCTTATTAAAGTCTTCTGTGTGCGCGCGTGAGGGTGTTGGCGCTGAACCTATTAAATGTTTTAGAAAAATGTATTCTCACAGACAGTAAACATCAATACACTTGAACAGAACACAACATGCACAGACACACAAATATTTGTTGCGAAAAGGTTCTTATACATGTGTACATTACACGGTAAATAAAAAAAAATGGCAGCATATCCACGGAGTGAATGATGGGGAGTGGGGCGAAGCATTCGTCCGTCCATTCGTTCTTGCTTCCGTCCGTTCCTGCGTACGTATGTGTAACCGCCCATGCGTCCATCCACCCGTCCGTGCGTGCGTCTGTTCGTGCGTCCGTCCCTGCGTTCGTCCATGCACCCGCGCCTGCGTCCGTTCATGCGTCCACCCATGCATCTGTCTGTGTGTCCGTTCGTCCATCTATTCAGCACTACAAGTACCACCATCTCACATCTTTTCATCATATATTCTCCATATAGAAGCACCGCCATCCAGCGGACATTTCAAGGACTAAACGGGAGGTGGCACATGCACACTTTCTTACGGCTTGCGCTTCGGGTTTACTTCCCACCTTTAACCACCTCGGGTTCATGGTATATACTAGTTCACTGTATTCATGGCTATGCGGCCCAACGCTCGCTAAACCTTTCTAAAACCAAGGAGGTTACACCCAGCGAGTATGACGCGTAGCAACCCTTCCTTGTCAGATCGTGCTCAATGTACATGCCAATAGCTGCTAATGGGGATCGCAGCGTGCGCGTTACCTAAAGGCCGAATGCTCCTGTCTCTCATTCCCCCTTAGCAGCCATTAACATGTGCATTGAGCACTATCTTTTATTGTTCAACAACGTACAGAAGAAATCTCTCACCGGAACCACCTTGGAGGTCGAAATCGTAAGGACCGCTATTTCGGGTATGTGCCATTGGTGGTTACGTCCTACGATGGACGCACAAGCCACGCCATAAGGAGCTTCGCCCCTAAAACACAACTACAACCTGAATACGTATACATTTTGCGTATTTATGTAGCGTTTCTGCCGACACTGAACAGACATCAGCCTACCACAAACAGGCAGGCCGAAAGACAAGTTTCACAAGTCCATCACATACGACGACGAAAGGGTGCGACAAGTGCCGAAGAAAAGTTCATGGTTTAGAGTACTTGGTACTCCTTCATGGGATGGGGGAGATGTGTTTAGAAAAAGTTGTTAACGATTTAGAGTACGAGGTACTCTACTATGGGAGAGCATAAAGCCATCCCGAAACGTATAGGGGGAGGGAGTGGGGGGTTAGAAAAAGTGGGTAACAATTTAGAGTACAGGGTACTCTACTATGGGAAAGCTTAAAGCCATCCCCAAAAATTCACGCCTAGGCGACTACAGACAGTGTAGCACCTCTCCGTAGAATACGTCTATTTCTAATGGAGATCGTCATCCTCCAGAATCAATGTTAACTTCGTCAATTGTCTGTGAGATGTGAGGAAACAAACTCAAACTGCAGACCCGTGTTAGTGTCACTAGCTTTCGGTCAAAAGCTTTAACCTCCTCGCCAATTTTAACAAATATGCCAACCTAACTGCTTGGTGAAACCTAATAATTTAATGATGGGCAATGTACTTTTATTTATTTATGGGGGCAATATTTGTCTTAGCAGTGAGAAAGTACTTATAATTGCAGCAGAAACCAGCCGGCACGACTTTCTTGCGCAGCCCCGCCACGGTGGTCAAATGGCTAACGTATTCGGATGCTGACCTGCAGGTCAAGGAATCAAATGCCGGCTGCGGTGGCTGCATTTTCGATGAAGGCGAAAATGCTGTAGGTCCGTGTGTTCATATTTAGGTGCACCGTTAAAGAACCGCAGCTGGTGGAAGTCGGCGGAGCCCTTCACTATAGTGGAGGGCTCCGCCGATTTGATTACGAGAGACGCCGTATGGTGGTTTTCGCACGTTCAACCCCATGCATCAATCGTCAACTATCTTGCGCAGACGAATGGCAGGCGATGCGCAGTTCAGGGGTGCAGCTTGCGCGAAATTCGAAGAGTTCTCACAGTTTCACTTTTTAGAAGCAATAAAACATATAGTGCACTATGATACCACGCGCTAAGATTGTGAATATGTGTGACTTACGTGCTTTGTAACCGGGCTATGATATTTATTATGTGTTTTAATATGCGCAAAATGTGATGTGTATTTCGGCAGGGATGGTCTCTTTTCTTATTTTTCACTAACTTCTCTGTAAACTATATGCTTAGCCATTGTGATACATTTGTTGTATGTGCTCTGAAATGATTCGTTCCAGTAGTGATGGTTCTTTTTCTTATGTTTCTCTTATATGCACATATCTGTTTTATATGGGTCAACTCCACTCCTGTAATAACCCGCAAAGGGCTGACAGTATCAACAAATGAGATGAAAAATGAATGAAATGAACAGTGGGAAGGCCCCCTTCCCGACGGCGTCCCCGAGGTTTGTCGGGCGCTCTTTCTACGGGCCATGGAGGGCTGTTGAACTGAAATGATTCAGTATACTGCCGAGTACAGTACAGTATTGGTAAAGAGGCGGATAAGCCAGCGCTCCTCCACCCTATATAGTGAGGTCTCTACAGAGGGGGGATAGAGACCATGAGAACATTGATAAAGAGAAGTGATGTCTCTAAAGGTGATGGCCGCATTCAAAATCGGGTTCCGGATCTGGATGCGGATGAAGCGATGCCCGGTGAGTGAGCGCGCGGGCGGCAGCGTTGGCTGTCTCGTTTCCTTCAAGACCCGCATGAGCCGGATCCAAGGAGGATTAAAAAAAAAATTGCTGGAGTGGAATTGATTGCGCAGAAGTGAAGCCGTTCCTCTGGTAAGGTGGTGGTTGTGGCGGCCATCTTACTAGGGGCATGATAAAGTTTGACCGTTCAGCAATTAAAAGCGAAGCGTTTCCCTCGCACGCCCCACGAGTTTAATGTGGGAACTTTTTCAAGCCACATAGTGCTCCAAGTGCGTCTTAATGTCACTAGTTTTCCGTAGTGAACCTCTAACTGCAGGCAAAGTTCTTTGAAGACACAGTCACCCATACTTGTTTCTGTGTGTTATTTCGTCGGGAACAACTATCCTTTAATATAGAACAAGTGTAGCATTTACATAACGTACCAAAGCCACTTGATCTTTAAGTGGGCGCTATCAGAAAAGAGCACCCTTCCGCCATCTTGGCAGTGGCAAAAGGTGGCTTCACTTCTGCTGGCAAGGCATTGCAAGAGCTTCCACTCCAGCAATTTTTCTTTAATCCTCCTTCGCCGGATCCCACACGATGGTACCACGGACCGGATATCCCATGCACTCGCAAGCGTGGAGTCGCAGAGGTTGCCATAGGTGTCCTGGAATAGGGACCTTTCCCGTTTTTCTTTGAATTTGAATAATAAAATGTTTTCGTCATTTTTCTACGACCGACCGGGTTTTAAAGACTGCAGCGCGTTCGAACGCTGCGGTTGATTTTAATGAAATCAAAACCAACATTCGATGCCACGTATATACCTTCCCCCCTTTTCCTCTGCTATAGCGGGCGCTGTTTGTACTGTTATTGTTTCTTTCATCGCTGGACTTTTTTTTTTGTCGGATACTTTTTTGGGCGTGTTAGTACCTCATAAGACCACAAACGAAGAATTAAGAACCCCAGGGGGTCGAAATTTCCGGAGCCCTTCGCTACGGCGTCTCTCATAATCATATGGTGGTTTCGGGACGTTAAAACTCGCGAATCAAATCATCAATCACAAACGAAGAATTGAGCCAGTGGTGCAAGGATTCATGGGTTAATGAACATGACATCAATATAGGTCATCAGGGTTGCGTTCTTAAGAGATGATATAAGGGATTCTTTATTCCGGCTAGTCGCTATAAAGTACACGAAATGTGAACAAACGTCTTATTTGTCGGCGATACTCATTGAAATAGCTTCGGTAAGTTGTCCCGAAAATCGCGCTTACCCGCCTCAGCTAACGGGCCTCGGCTTCGCCGAAGACTTCGATGAAGCTACATTGTGGTCCCCATGCAGCTCCACAAGCAAGTCACTCTTTTTTGTCGATCACAGTGGGGATCATTGAAGACGTATACTTCCAAGAATGAGCAGTTTAGTTTCATTTCCGAGGTGCTAGGGGACTTTAGAAATGTTGTGTGCAGGTGCCAATCAAAAGTGCCAAAGGCAAAAGGGTCAAATAGAAAGAAAATTTAGTGAAATATTGAATTGGTTTTGATTGATAGTCTTCTCTTAAAACACAAATGTCGTTAATTTCGTCATCGTATCTTTATTAATAGAGGGGAAAACCAACGTGAAAGTTTCATTTTTAACTTTTTTTAAAATTTCGTGCTGAAATCTTCACGCGTGACGTCAGAAATTTCAGATTGAGTGTTTCGTATTTTGTCGGCATTAGCTGAACGAAATTCATTGCGACTTGACTCGTTAACGGTCAGGCCATAGGACAATGCTTTTTTATTTTTACGTACTAGGAACTACGAAGGCCCTCGCAGACGCTATCAAAATCTATGACGTCGCGGTGATTCGTGCGGAAATTTCGAGGTGCCGTCGCCACTTGTGTTTTGTTTTTGCGTGTTTTCTCGCTAACCTAGCGTCTTTTCGTGGCAAGCGGGGTGATGCTGGTATTGTGGAAGAGTGATTTACTAATACGAGAAAAATGGATTTTTGTCTTTCGACCAATCAATCAATTAATCAATTATTCAATCCGTGAAATTATAAATCAATCAATAATTCACTTGAACTTTATTTTCATTAAAGAATAATGTCAATACAAGGATTACTTGAACCGATAGCCTTAAGTGGCTAGTAGCCAGTCCAATGCAATGTACAGCAAATGATGCACAGGTCAGCTTTCAGAGAAGAAAGAAAAACGATCATATAGATATAGAGAATACACGTATAAAATTTTCTTTGTAAACAGCCATACTTATTAGCTTGTAACTAGCTTGCTATCCATAGGTAGTCATTTAAAAAAGAACGCAAGGAAAATCAAATCAAGCAAACACGCACACAGGCTTACATACAGAAAAAATGACTTGCATGCAGCGCCCATTTAGTGTCTTTTTAAACACGTGCATTTGTTCTCATGTTGAAATTACAACAGAAGAGTCTTGTGATTGAGCTTACAACGTTCTCGATTTCCTTGTTTCAGATACGTATCTACACTTTTCGTCACCTGCATTATGGCCACCCAGCTGGCGACATCGCAGAGATCGACACGCTCCTTGCCTTTCCCTCTGCGCGACATCTCGGCCGCTGTTGGTGATTAGTCTTGCCCTTTAATTAGCGAGCTTGCCTTAATTGAAAGTTTTGATTACTTGCCTATGGCATGAAAATTTAGAAATGGTGTCGTCGTGTATTATTCGTCTTCGAAAGCAATGCCGAACATACTCTGGTCATGCCAAACTTGAGTGAAACCACAAGCAAACAATTATGCTAATCATCGATGAAGCAGAGTGGGAGAGTGCTTGAACTCTCCCGGAACGTTTCCGTTTTGAGTGTGTGCACGTTCACTTAGAAGTGTTTGGAAGCGAGCTCTTCGGTAAGAATAGATCTTAAAAAATAAGAAAAAGAAAACATTGCTACTTCGGACACGATGAACACGGGAACTTACAAGGACAGGCGCACACTCACAGACCACACATAAATCAACGCACGAGAAGACATACAAAATGGGTGCGTAAACGCACCTACCCCCACAACCCTCATGGAAAAAGTTTCTGTCTACGCCTTTGATGCTGTATATTTCACACACTTATTCTATTGTTGTAAATGTATTTTCCTACGAGTATAGAGAGAACTCTGGCGCTACTGTCGATGCCAGCTGCAATGCGTGGTGCTTCAGCCAGCATGGGAATGATGGGTAGTGCAAATTGGTGTACTTGTCTCAAAATCATTCTTTTGGCTTTATGTGTCCAGCATTCGTTTTGTCACACGACCAAGTTTAATAAACATTTAGCAGTTGCGCTTGACCACCATGGCCTTTTAGGCTTACATATTCAAACTTGGTCACAAAGCTTGCAACTACTCACTTTTTTATCCGAAACGAACGCCAAAACGAAACAGTAAAGAAAGCCCCTATGGTGCGTTCGAAGCCGCAAGTACGAAAATTGGGCAAATTGGTGTACGAACCATCATTCCCATGGTAGATGAGCGATTGCAGTGCCAGAGTTTCCTCTAGTAAACATGGGGAAAATAGGGTTTCTAGACTGTCTATTTATTTCCACTCGATTCCGTAGCCATAGTCACACGTGTCCGTGTGACTGCGAACGGCTGTGTTAGACGAGCACTCTGTTGGACCAACACCACCTTCTAGGTGGTGTTGGTTGGACCCAGCAGAGTGCTGTCATTTGTTAGCATGTCTCGCGTGGACTAACTTTCCGGAAACATACAGCTTGCAAATTATCGCGCAGCGCGATAAATGACAGGGCGGATACTTCTAAATGCGGGAGTACCGCCCGGACAGAGGCGATGCACTGCCTTTCTGCATCTCAAGCATCGTAAGAGACGGCGGGGCGTGCACACACCGACGTAAAAAAAGGAAACAAGACAGCAACTACGCAGGTCCCTATTGCACAGGCACAGTGGAAGATATAAATGATGTTAACGTTGTTTTTACGGCTGTTAGTAAGCGCGGTAAGATATGCGTTCTCCGCGCAAAAAAAAAAAAATGGTGAGCAGGTAATAGTGAAAAGGTCGACTAATAATAATTGATGGGGCTTAACGCCCCAAAACCAAGATACGATAAATTTGCGCCCAAAATTTCTTTTTTGTATGGCTACAGAAACAAAAAAAAAAAAAACTCGTCTAATAGCCATGGCCGGGCGTACGCCCTAAACAAGATCCTGGTTAAATGCTGGCTATATCCAGGAAACCAGACGAAAAATGTTTGGTATCCTAGCGAAACCCGAATAAGAGTGTACGGAAGGCATACTTGAGTGAACCGTCGATCAACTTGCATCAGTGGCATAGCCAAAGGGTACCCCCTTCCCCCCCCCCCCCCCCCCTTCCAGAACTACTTTTTCCACGGCATACAGGGTACAAAATGACACTCGACCATACCTGACTGCCTAGCCCCCCCCCCCCCCCCCCCCCCGCTCAGATCAATGAGGTGCCCCCACCGTGGAATCGTACGCGTCCTACTTGCATAGAGAATAAATAAAGTCATCTATGGCCATATTCGTAAGGGCACCTAACCGACAAGTGATGCTACCGTATCTGCGCATGCGAGGATGAGGTTTCTGGTCCACCTTCCTTTCCGCCTCAGTGCAGCCAATCTAAGTTGAAAGACGAGATGGGAGCTCCTCTTTCGCCTTCACAGTCCCAAACGCGCCCTTTCCTCCTCAACACGTATTTCTTCAGAACAACAGGTGGACGATGCAAGCACTGAGCGCTGAGCCGATCGCAATTCCGCGCTTTTTTTTTTTTTCGGCTACACACTGTCATTTCATTTATCCACGCTTGCGCGGTCGGAAGCGCTCGAGGTGAAGTGAAATCAGCTAATCGCGCACGGTAGCCGTTCGAGATAAGGCAGAACGGGAGCGCGACTGCAGAGCGAATGATATGACACCGTTCGCGACGGATATGCCTCATTTATAGACTCTTCGAAAGCTGAGTGTTTCCTGGCGACGTCGAACGAACAGACTGCTGGAGTCACGAATTGAGCCCAAAATACGAGAAATGCAAAAACAATAGCACTAAAACGGTTGCTTGGGAGTGTTGGCACGACGTAGCTGAACAAACAGCTCGAGAAACGAGAGACCAGACGAAGGAGTACACATACAGCGCTTGATATGTGTACTTCTTCGTCTGGTCTCTCGTTTCTAGCACTGTTTGTTTTTCTTCAAGAATAGTGCCGCGTTTGTTTTTAGGGGCAAAGCACCTTAGGCTCTCGGCGTGTCATGTCGTCGTCGTGGTTTATTATTGACGCGACCCACATGCGAGTATATCCACAACAATTAGGTGAGTCCCTCTACCCATCACCTGTTCCTACTACGCATATTATAAGGGAAGGGTTCATCGCTAGTGTCTGAAACATTATGTTCGGCTTAGCAGTGGTGTAAGAAACCTCACCAAATTTACTAAGGCACTCACTTGTTTTTTTTTTAATCTAAAACCCGAGACACTAACGTGCACTTTTACGATGAAGTCATCTTTTTGAAACCCGCCCCACCGCGGTGGTCTAGTGGCTAAGGTACCCGGCTGCTTGCCCGCAGGTCGCGGGTTCGAATCCCGGCTGCGGCGGCTGCATTTCCGATAGAGTCGAAAATACTTTACACCCGTGTGCGAATATTCGGGTGCACGTTAAAGAACCCCAGGTGGTCGAAATGTCCGGAGCCCTCCACTACGACGTCTCTCATATTCATATGGTGGTTTTGGGACGTTAAACCCAACATATCGATCAATCTGTTTGAAACACCACATCTCGAAAGATATCTGCAAAGTGGTGATGAGTAAGTGGACCGGTGGCGCGTAAGGCATCATAACGATTTTGCTTTCGAAAACACCGGCGCACATTGCGTGCTTCATCCATTCCTGGGTTTCCAGTAAGTGGAGGGGAAACATCGTTCCCTGCATGTCCCTTTTTGTGTTTGCAGTCGTTGTTTGGGGTCCCTTTCACAGTTCGGTGGTCATGTTATCTTATTCCCTTCTGATGCTGATGACCTCAGATAGATGGCGCTCACCCACGGAGGTGGATGGGCCAAGAACCGGACGGCAGGATACTTAAATGAAACTAAAATAAAATTAAAGCCCATCTGAAAAAAAAAATTGTTTAGAGATAATACTGGCAATAAACAAAAAATGTTTGCTGAGCAAGCGGTCAAACCATCTCTTGTTCCTGACAGACATCGCTACGAATTATAAACTGAAAATCTGAAAAAGTTAGGGTTCACTGGCATGGTAATCTTTTAGTTGCATTGATGTAATCAAACACAGCGGAGCATATATCCCTGTGGCAGTGAGTAACCAAATGAAGTGCCGCCAAGTGATAAAAGTACTGGTAGATTTACTTGTATTCCTAGCTTTTGTAATGGGGCTACTAAAAATCGTTTTCTCTGATAAAGAGTAATGATGACAGAATAAAAATAAATGTTCAATTGTTTCAATTTTGTTGCAAAAAAAATGTACAGCGGTGATGCCTTGAGTCGAGCTTCGTTAAGGTAATAATTTAGTAGTGGAACTGTACAGCGCCGTCTGGTATAAGTGACCTCTAGCAGGCGAGATACAGACCACTGTTTATACGAGCATTACCTTAAATGCTCGAAATCTTTAAATTTATCCAAAGTATTCCCTTCTTTTGTGACCGTGTTTGCGGCGTTATCTTCTTCCACAATGAATTTCTTACCAACTATATCAACTTTCCGTCTTTTTAAGATCACCGGCACATTGGCGAAGTAGTCGTTGCTTTTTTTTTCTTAAGGAAGACCGTTTGGCACTAGGCGATAGTAGACAAATAATCAGGGTGGTAAACCAACTCCACCTCTCAAATGAGGCACCGTCCGTTTCATGGCCGATCCCCCGTGGTGGGTTGCACCAGGACTCTGAGGAACAAGCAACCAACCAGTAGGGCCGTACACAGCCTCTTCGCGGGTGCATGCTGCCAGCCATTTACAACGGGAGCTTGCGTCCGTAGAGCCGCCAATTTAATTAAAAGAGTCAATTAAAAGCCAATGAAAAGAGTCGAGCGTGATGCGAGTCGAGCAGCACAGAGCGCATCGACCAGAGTCGCGCAGGCTACCCAGCGGCCGAGGTGGACCTGCTACGCCGCGTGCGACCCAACCCGGCGTCGCCGGAGACGGTACGTTTCGCCGCCGGTGACCCCGAGTCCGGACCTTCTCTGGCGCTGGAGTTCGGCCCCAGGGCGGACGTCAAGTTCCCCTACCGTCTGCTGATTCCGGCGGCCCTCTTCAGGGACTTCGCCTTGCACGTGAGTATTACTGAACTGCATGACGAAAGTGTCACCATGTGACCCAGGGGGTGGCACAACCCACCCGAAAATATTTTTTTCGCCAAGGCATAGAAGGCCAAAATGGCCGTTTTATGGGGGTGCCCCACCCGAAAACAATTTCTGCCTACGCGCCTGGTGTGATCCACTCGAACACATGTCCGCCGCAGTGTCAACACGCTGCACCTTTCACGCTGGCGTAGTGATTATGGTGTTTCACTGCTGACGCGAAAATCGCGAGATCCAATCCCGATCGCGGTGACAACACTACAATTCGATGGAGGCAATATGCTAGAAGCACGTTCAAAAAAACCCCGAATTGCCGACATTTGCGGAGCCCTGCCCTATACGACGTGCCTCTCAATCGTATCTTGTTTTGGTGCCGTGGATGCCCGATACTGTTACCTGCTCGAACATATAACGTGATTGTCATGACATGCTTACCGCTAAGCCGGATAAGGTGACATCGTTGTTAAAACACGCACAAAAAGGTAGCGTCGTACAGAACAATCTGATCACAGTAACAATTAGAAGCTATGCAATGATTTTTGAAGAATAATTTATTTTAAAAAATACTTTGGATAGTGCCCATGGTTTGATGACAGTGGGGCGCGTTGGCCTCTGGTACAAGGAGACGGCCGGCCATGATAACTAATGTGTGAGTGATTCTTTATTCATTCATTAAAAATGCAAAGAAAAGAAAACAAGAAAGTTGGAGTGGAAAGGTACGGAACTGGGGGAGGAGTGCACAACAATTGTCTCAATGAGGAAATGTACTTTTCTTAGTGCGCAGGGAACGTTTGAGAAAGAAGATAGAGCAGTGAGATATGGACAGACCAGCCCACGTCAGACCAACCAGCCCAAGTAGCCACTATTTTGGAGGATACATTAGGCGAAACACTCGTGGCGATGGGGAGAAAAGAGACAGTAGGATAAATAAAATGAAAAGAGAGGGGGGGGGGGAAAGAAAAAAAATGCAGTGGAAGGAAGCTGTTGTATTGTGGTATAGCGCTATAGGGGAAGAGTGTTGCTGGAACATAATGGCTGCTTCTAATCGCGAATGAGCTGGTCACCGTAGCGCCAGTGGTGCGATGCATACATGGCGGGCTTCAAATGACGGTACACGTAGCCGAGTCACTTTATTCAGCATATCAAAACGCGCCAATATTGCGGCACATCGCTGGCGCTACGGTAAGCATCGTTACTAGTTAATTCTAGGTAACGTTGACGGTGAGCAGCAGAACTGCTCATTGGTAACCGGAAGCTCATGTACCAACAACACTCACCCTCTAGCGGTACATGCCCCGATGCAACAGCTTTTGTGCGAAGTAGCAAGCTCCATCTGAAGCGGCCTATGCTCGGCGAAGGGAAGACATATACCATCACCAAGAATAAATTATTCAAGCCATATAATGCTGACTGCGCCCTGAGCACGCACATCGACACAAAGTACCAGATAACAAAAGGACAACGAACATGTAAAAAATGCCATTACCCACTAACAGTTATGCACATCTTAGTAGCACACCCCGATGTCGAAACAATCAAAAATACTTGAGCGAATTATACAAGCAACACATACCGTTACACCTTGTTCTGCATTCGGGAGACCGCACTCTTGTTCCCTACCTTGACTGACGTGCTGAACTTTTGAAACGCAGGTGAAAACTGCATCAATTGGCCCTGAAACACTTTTTCAAGTAACGATGGAATGAATTCACTGGAAGAGTTTATTGCCTCATAATTTCAACGCCGCAATTTGGCCCTGAAAAACTTTTTCAAGTAACCTCGGAATTAATTCACTGGAAGAGTTTATTGCCTCACGAATTCAACGCCGCAAGAATTTTAAGAATTCGTCCAGTGTGAGTGGAGTTAAAGGTTTCTCGCATGCTGCGATTGCATTCTCTCTTCTCTCGTCCCGACGAAAGCGCTGTATGCCAAGCAGAGAGGGACGGCAAAAGCAAAAAAAAAAAAAAAAACCGTTACCCACGTTTTGTGACGTTGAGCACTTCTTTCTTTTTTTCTCCGAATGCGCGGCTTTTTTCAGTGTGATCGCGCGCGCACGCATGGTCAAGTCACGGCCTTCCGCGGCAATCTCTGTAACGACCGAGCGCGCCATGTTCAAATCAGCCAATGGCTGATAGATGGGTTTTCTACGAGTGATTTTTGAGCATCTTCAGTCATTTGTCGAGAGAGGGGAAAGCTATTTTTAGCTGACTTTGATAATTTATTGTGTATTCCAGGCGGCGTGCTGCGCTATATTTGGCTTGCGTGTTGTCGGCAGCTACCGATCGGCAGCATTTTCTGACCATGCTCAAAATGTTGCATGGCCCATTTAATACCTCGTGACAAGCGGCCACATATCATCCGTGCTTTTGCGCCATGAAACACTAATTAACTAACCAGCTAACAACAGTTTTCTACCACCGGATTCCAATGGAGACGCTTCTTGTACCAGCAGCCACGCGCCCCCATGGTCGCATTTTAATGCACGAGTATTCTAACCACTTTCTCTTGAACAGTTACTGGTTGACCATCCGCCATTTTGGTGTAAGTGCACCAAGCATCCTAACGCGATGGCTCGCACGATGGAAATTCTTGTAGAAATTGTCGACGGGGTGGAAGACGTGCTAAGCGCGCGTAAATTGCTCGTGCGCGTGACATTATAAAAAGGTTTTCTATTCTGCCCGGTGAGACCTATGTGCCTGCGACGTAATGGCTATAACATTCAGAAGAGCATGTGTGGCGGTCATTTGTTACCAACGTTGGTTGTAGTTGCAGTATACATGATTCCCTTCTACTTGCGGGGCATCTCACATAGGGCACATCGACAGGTGGCTAAATAAAAGGCTTCAGGAACGCAATAATTTGTGTAATAGGCTTGCAATCCAAGGGAATATCCCCCCAACGCTGTTCTCAGTGTACAAGCAACGCCATTTTCAAAGAAACTACTACTTTAGCAAATAGCTAAGGTAAAACCATAAGTACCATCATTCAGGTTTACAGTATGATATCGGGGGAAGTTTAGCGCATGTCCTTCTATGTACTCACAGATAGACAAGTGCCATGTTCAGCGATACAAGTATAAATTTAATCGAAACATTATAGTGTCATCTTTGATACATGTACGAAGCAGAATAAATGTGATGTGTATATTAGATAAATGCGTGTTTTACTCCATCGATAGCACCCCTGTAGGATCATGCTCAGTTTGCCTACAGTGCCCTTTCCTTTGTATGCAACTCCCCCCCCCCCTTTTTTTTTCTGTTTTTTTTTTTCTGTTTCACTAAATTCACTTGTTAGATACGCTTTGTCTGTGACTCAAGCTTTTTTTTTTTCCTGTTCTCAACTTTGGCAGCGTTGCTTATATAGCTGTGGTTATAACATCGCGCCTCAGTACTGCAGGACCCTAGTTAAGATGTCACGGCCGGAATATTTCACTACCTTTATCTAGGGTATACGTGTGCTCCGATGACGTCACTTGCGCGCGTGTGGGGCGTCACTCGCTGTTAGATAAGCGATCGGTCGGTCACAATGGTAGCGAGACAGCTGAGAGAGTGCTTCCCCTCCTCTCCTCTTCCCATAATGTTCTCCGTTATGGGGGCAACTGCGATGACACTTGCACCACTCTCGTCTACCCCCATTATGGAGAACATTATGGGGGAGGAGTTCAAGTATCATTGCAGCCCCCGCTCTTTTCATTTGACGAGTCTGACCGAAAACAGACTTCATGATGGATGGGCAAACGAAAATGAAGCACAGACAATATGCTTCGCACAAAGACGTGTCTTTAGTGCACGATTTTAGCGGGCAAAGTTGGCAAGTGTACCATTCCTCAACATCAGAGGTCTGCAGCCGTCCTTATTTTCAAAAACGGGCATGGTAATAATCGTGCACATTAAACAATGGCAAGACAAATCTGGCTGAAAAAGATGGCTGAATAAAAAGGCTGCCAATTGGTGCTCTATTTTTAATGATTGGTAAGGGGGGGGGGCACCTTGCCTTATCTATGCGACCGCCTGTTAAAACGCGAACTGAATCACAATCTGCCACCATTAAAAAAAACATGCACACGAAAGAGAGACATGAACACGATGACAGAGGTGGCACTCCAGCTGATTCATTTCAAACACGAAACAGAAATATAAAAGAGGGACCCACATATGCGCAGAATAGCCAGAACTGCCTAATCTACTCTGCTCTCGCACAATCTTATCTCAGAAGACCGCAGCGTTATTGAAGTGCTATTAATCACCCAACTTAATGATGTAAGGCGCTTCCAGGAACTCAAGTGCTGTTGATACTTGATCTTACCCAGGATCATCACCTCATGAAGTTGGGGTTCGCATTTGTAGACTTCGCAACGCGCAGGAAAATGCGCAAGTTCATTTTCTTTCTCTCGATTTCAGTCACGCACGTTCCCTGGCTGTTACGTTCATACAGCGACCAGCCTGCCCAACATAATACTTTCCCTCGAGGCGTTCATGCTACGACGCGCATATGATCTTCCGTGCAGGCTGTCTTCCGGCCGGCCACAGCCCACTATGCCTCCGGACACGCTGCCGCGACTGCTTCCAGCTCGATCCAGGACGAGCAGTTCCTGTTCGCCGTCGTGAATCCGTCCGAGACGCTCGTTCAGCTGGGGCTGGCGGTGTCTCGCGACGCGTCTCACGTGAGCCTCTACTACACCGACGTGTCCATGCACCTCGAGTCGCAACGACTGGCCACGTTCCGGCTTCCCAAACAGGCCACTGGGCCACACGGATGGATCAGGTGATGATCGGCGCGTTGCCCCGAATACCTTCGACAGCGACACGCGAGTGCCGCAACAGTGGAGTGAAACTTCGTAGCTTGAAAGCGGATACCAGCAACTTGAAACTGCGATTCCGCCTGAAGAAACCACGCTAATGGTCCTGCAGTCGTGAGGAAGGCGGACAGTGATGGCTCTTCGCCTTCCTCAAAGCAGAGAAAGGGGGTGTCGTCCAAAGCAAATTAACTAGCTGAACAGTTAAATTCATTACTGCCGAACTGGCGAAAGCTTTAAGGGGTCCATTGCACGCGCAGCCGACTACGGTACATCACGTGTATAATGTGAAACTTCAGCGCAAACAAGAATACAGTGGATAAGGACTGTCGATGAGGGCAAGAAAATTAGCGCTTGTCTTCTTCATTCTATTGCACGCTGTGAACGGCTTGCTCTGAAGTTTGCCGTTGTAGAATACTAACTAGCCCTCTCCCACACCTTGCATTAGTTGTCCAGTGTGAGCATGACTTTGAGCGGAAAGGCAGCTTGAAAGAAATGTAGCGAAAAATAAAGATCACGTGACGTCTATGTAGGGTAGTGAAAAACCATACAGAAGCGAGTGAAAGAATGGAGGGAGTCGGAGGTGTTTCGTGTTCGCAGACTGAGCCTGACGGCGACCGGGAACCAGCTGAACCTGGAGATGCTCAACTGCAGCACGCTGCAGGACGTGCGCATGGCGCAGCACGTGACTCGCATCCCCAAGGAGCTCGTGTTCGACCACGCCTCCACTCTCTACCTGGCACAAGCGGGACCCATTCTGGGCGGCACATTTCTGGTACGGTTTTCTGTCTTCTACGAACATTGGGGGGGGGGGGGGGGTCTTTGTGCGGAAGCTACAGATGCAGGGGCAGAAATAACTGCGTCACTATACCCCACCATTTGTACTGTGGAAACCATCGCTTTCCTTTGTGCTTCAACTTGAAGGACCGATATTAAAGGTACAATTGTGGCTACGGGACCACCCGGTCTTAAATGTTACAGCCTGGGTGTGCGTGGAGTTCTCTGATGTGGTACAACGTTGTAGCATCATGCAGGCCTTATATTTGATTTCCTTGTTGACCTAATATGATTTCAGATTGTGTATTACGTGGCGCTTCGGTACGTCCACGCACTCATGCGCTGCTGATTGTAAATGCTAGATCATTTTTTCAGAGCAATAAGGTTTCCAGTCAGCATGTCAGAGACAGATTTTTTTTCTAATAAACAATTCTGATGAGCCCCAAATGTTCATATGTTACAGAAAGAAAACCGCTTTTATTTTAGGGAGCTGTCCGTATACCTCCGATCTGTTTATAATCAAATGGTAATCTTAATCTTACTTCGGCGCTTGGATTTTCACTCGTAATTACGATTTTAATAATTGTGATTATCACTCGGCAATTATTTCGAGTGGAAGTTCAAATGACTTTGATGCCATGAAACAAAGCGTCTATGGCAGGGGTCTCAAGCTAACTCTTCGGTTACCGGGCCCCAGTCGTGAAACTTAGTACCGCGAAGGATCAACCACTGTGAGCAAATGGGAAGCGGTAAGCAGGAGGTTGAGTTTGAATAAAATATCAGCCCCTTGCCGTTCGAAAAAAAAAATTGGCAGATCCCTCATACCAGGGAATCGACGTTATGCGAAGCATCCGGAGGGAAGGTGACCATATTGCAATTTTTTATTGAGCGACACGTCATAAAATGACGCTAATATGCAAATGTTGCACGCACAGACATATGTTGAATATTTGCAGATACTTACATAATCAGTTGTTTGCCCTTGTGCAACTATGATACCTGGAACATACATATTAGCAACACTAGAAGCTGATATGAAGCGCTAATGCTCGCGAGGATGCTGGCCAGGGACACTGACTGCTACAGAAACCAAATTGAGCGCATGGCAACTAACCACAATCGACGTTAACCGGACGTCACGGCTGTATCAAAAGAGTATACACATGTAATGTTTATAAAATTGGGTAGGCAGCACTGCAACCACTATTGACGTTTCACAAAGATTAGCGTCTATTTGAAACGAAGTTCCAAGACATGGCGTAGCTCTGTGGTAAGATGCTTCACTGCCACGCAAAATTCTTCGGTTCGATTCCTGCGGGGACTCTGGCATTTATTCTTTGCATTCGTCGGGTCGACGCTACCAATATCCGGTATTTCTTAAAGCTCACGCGTTCAAATTTGCCATGTGTGTTCTCGTCGTTCCTGGGTAGATACAAAGTGTCAATCACCTGTGGCACATACCCGCATACCTGCGGCACATACCAGCCCGTGGGTATGTGCCACTGTCTGGCGGGAAGTGTTCGACGACGTACGCGACGGGATTGTGGCCCTATTCATGCCTTGACTAGCGCGCCATGTTTGTCCAACCATCTCACCCTCCCATGCTAATTTTGGTTCGCGCCAAGTTAAGGGGGTGCCCACGAGAGCACCCAAACGTAAGCGGCTAGATACATAAATACATAAATATATAGATGGATAGATACGCTCAAAGTCACCGAAGTTCGCTAGGAAATGTTTCGCATCTAAAAACATTTCCCGTGTATTATATATGGTAATTTTTGAAGGGGCTTCGACCTGAGGTTTTCAAGAACATATCGACACTAGTTATTGGTACGCCATGACGAAAATCTGATCGCCGATCCTGAAGTATATTTTTTTGTTCCGCGGTTATGTTTGAACACAAGTTGGTCGCATCAGGCACATCACGAAAAAGAAAGCTTCAGACCAGTCTAGCCTGTGCAAATTACCTGCACAAAGAGTTATTAATCACGGTAGACGATACAATAATGTGAGAACCATTCAGAAGTGTCACGAACAGACAAAAGATCATAAAAGAAATGTGGGACAAAGACTGTAATGTGCAGGCCGCAAGCGAGAAGTGTGGGCACCGGCCACGCGTTTCAGATTACTGGTCTGTTGGCACGTACGTTCGCATTCGATACCACTGCCTCATCAAACTGATACATTCGAATGCGAATGAGAGTTGGATGTTGCATATTGAACCAAACTTCAATAGTTTTTTTCTTCGTATACATTTGTCTTTTTTAGGGTCGCATTCAGACTCTACGGCTTTTCAGCGTGCCAGTGCTTGTGCCTCTTTGCCAGGACACTCTAGGATATCAGGCAAGTGGCATGGCTGAGGTTTGCCCCGAAATACCAATAACCTTGGATATAAAGAGTAACACAATTTATTAACATGCAGAACTAAACTTCCCGTGGCTGTCCGAGAAAAACAAGAAGGGTTATGTTACTCTGACGATTGATCGGTTCCAACGGACAATACCTTTACTATGTATTGTTAGTGAGGCAAATTTACAGCTGCTGCCGGACATATTAGTGAAGAACCCGCCATGGTGGACTAGTGGATAGTGTTTTACTGTTGACCCGCTGGTCGTGGGATCGAATCCCGGCAGTGGCATTTTCGATGGAAGCGAAAATACTTGAAGCCTGTGCATTTACATTTAGCTGCATGTTAAAGGAAACCGGGTGCATGGTCAGAATTTCCGGGTATCCCCACTATACGGCGTCTCTCGTAATCACATCGTGGTTTGGCACGTTAAACCCTCAGAATTATTTTTGTGTTAGCGAATACCACCAGCCGATGGCAAATAAAATATGAGAATAGGTTTTTGCAATATGGACCAATATTATCTTAGCATTTATGTTTAAATACTACGTTATGATTACGCTTAGGCATGAAAGTTTTATTAAGTTGTCCAAACAGCAATATTTAGCACCACGTTATGCCTCTCGTGCAATTATTTTTTGTGAGTCATTAAAAATGCCACAAAACTGATACATTACATCTCTTCGTCCCGTTTGCGAGACATAATAACAACGTACTCGAAGCACTTGCGGATGCATGTATATACGATCGCTGTTTTCTTCAGGGGGGCGTCTTTGTGTTAGTCATTTTAGCTGCGATATCTTGCATGCACTGATTCTATATGTAACCCATTTGGCTGCAGAACGACGCAGCTAGAGTACCGTGGATGGAACGCGCCGAGCCACATGGCAGCCAAGACAAGCCCGCATCCGAGACTGAACCTTGGAAGAGGTCGGCTGATCCGGGCCTCAAGGTCAGAGAAGTGCATTCGGGATGAGCTTGTATCCGTTATAAATTATCTGCTTTTCGCGACGTATGCACCCTCGCTATTTATAGCACGCTTAGACGTGGAAATTTAATTTGCTGGCTTTGGCGAAAAATCATCAAACAAGGAATGCCACTGACGACAACGTTTCTGCTAGCGTATGGCAGCCTTCGTCATGACAGCAAGCGCTGCCATAATGAAGATAAGTTCCCTTGTTGAAACGTAGGCTTCAGCGTTATTTCATTCTCCGCGACTTCTCATTTCAATGTCAATCTAATCATTAACGTCAACATTATCAATGTGGCATCAGCCTGCTGCAGCGCAAATCCAAGCGAGACGTCCGTCTTGTTTGGATGTGAAAAAAAAATCGTGAAAGGTACTGCGCGAAAACATATAGCAACCAAAATGTTTCGCGATCGCGAATAGCAACAAGGTACGCACACCAAAATAACAAAATGTAATGGCGTCTCGGCTTCACAAATTCGCGAAAGTAGCCGAAGTAGCGCTCCGAATTGTGGTTGGCAACGAAATATAGAGGTAGAGGGTTTACTGTGCCAGTACAGTTGAACCCCCTTATAAGAGACATTGAAACAAATGACAAATGGGTATAAGCGACACCAATGTGCTTACAATAAAATAAGGGTTGACAAGAAAATTCATGCGAGGTACCCTGCTTATAAGAGACATCTCGTGTAACAGACAAGAATTGGTGTCCGGAGCATGCCTCTTATAAAAGGGGTTTAACCGTATATGGAAAAAGTAAAATTGGACTAAAAGTGTTTTCTTCCAATACGAGATGTAACAGTATAGCCACCCTAGTAGCAAGGAATAAAGTGCATCATCCACCGCCGGCGAAAGCCATGGCGTGTGTGACGTCATAGGCTTCGTGGTGTGAAGCCGTTCTTCCAAGTTTCAACCGCGGGAAACTGTTCAACTCTCCAAACTGGCAGCTCCCTTGAACGCGCAGCTGACCACGAAACAATATCGTTGGCTGAAACACAGATGAAACAAGCGCCTTTCTATACGTCACTGCTCACGAGTACGCCACTGTTGTCAGACTGTCGGGCTGCTCTTGTGTTTATAAAAATGCTTGTTATAAATTAAGTTATTGACCAAATGCACTAAAGTATCGCCAGCTTGTTTGAGAATGCTCGAGTATTAACCAACATATACCACAGATTATGGCGAACATAGGGTGTCCTGGCCCATTCAAGTACGCTTCAGTAGGCGAAGCAAGCACCGAACAGACATGGTCTGAATGTGTAAGGATTCTAGATGCATCATGCAAACTTGTTGGAAACTTTGTTTTCTTGAATGAAAAGTTTTTGGATTTGCGCTGGCACTGATTTGCTATCGAAGTACTAAATACCAAACGTTTCGTGTCACGCAAAAATTAGCTTACCTTACTTCTTGTGGTTAAGGTACTACGCATGCTTAAGCACAAGGAACTAACCAGTTGTCACACATCGTCTTACTACTGTTTTTTTTTTCGCCAGGGGGAAAAAGGCGATGAAGGCGCTCGCGGACCACGTGGCTTAATCGGGCTCAAGGTACGTAGGAAGATTCTAAGTCTAATCAAGGCAGTTTAGATAGCAAATCTCTCAATTAGTAAAATTTAATTTCTTGTAATCATTTTATAATTCATTATGATTTACAAGTAATGTGATCCCCTCTATCTAATTACTCGTTTCTTGGCCAATCCTCCAGAGTGGGTGTGAGTCATGCATTTAGGTCGTCATAATCGTCTCGTTTTGATAATTTTAATTGAGTGTCGCTGCCTTTAATGGTGCAATGTCTACGAGATATGGTTCCTATACAGAGCAGCAAGGCAGGTCATCGCTTGTCCATCAAAAGTGTTACGATTTGCAACAACAAAGTTTCGGGTTCTCCCATGCGGTGACTCCGGAACTTTCATTGCAGACTGTAGCATTAATAAGATAATTGTTGGAGACATAACCAGTGCTCCCCATTGCAAAAAACAAAAAACAAAGAAAGACCGTGCTCCGGTATCTCTTAACGTGAAAACAGTGGGTTTTCTTGATAGTGGTTAACAGTGGTGACGGTGGCTCTCGCTAGTAATCGCTAGGGCTTTGATAAGGTCGAAGGGTCGTACTCGTGAGAAAGTTCATTTCACGGCTGTGGCGCTGTAACCGCGAGAACTATTATTGAAATTTTGTTGGCGCGTACTTGCATTGGTGACACTTGTGCCGCACTCGTTGCAGTGTTAGGCGGAACAGAGGAAGAGGGAGTCGTTCAACGCAGGATGACTAGCTGATTCGATGTTTTAAACAGATAGTATAATGCCCTATTCATATTAACTCTACAATTAAGGCCACCTCGCCATTTCTTGATCAAAGACAAGAGATTGGTTTTATCCTCGCCTTCGCTACCCTTCGCACGAGCTATGTACCCTCCTCGCCACTAATTTCTTCATAGAGCACGTGTAAAGTGTCAGCACTAACCGTGGAGACTATCAAAATTTCGCGCTTGTCGACTACACGCTGTCATCGCCGCTTGCGTACAACACGGAAAAACACAAAACAAAATGAAATCAGTTGAGCGGTAGTCATGCAAGACAAAGAACAGATGGGCAATTGCATGACAATGCGTGTAAAAGGAAATTTACACGTGATAATGTCCGTGTAAATAGCCATCGAGAGTATGTGTACTTTAGAGACGTCGCGAGAATCGCTACTCTTGCTTCACAAAGTGCGTTAGAAAAACGCGAAGCGGCAGACGAGAATAGTGCGCTTTTTGTTTGTACGTTCAGAGGTTGGTGAAGGGCCCTTTAAGAACATATTCGTCGAAATCGAGAATCAAAATGGGTATTTGGGCATGTAGCGCGAAAGCAAGATAACTTCTGCAACACACTTTATTCCAAGACTAGGCAGCGAGCGAAGGCAGATCAACTTTAGGTGGCCAGATATTAAGAAGTTTGCATGTTTTATATGGCTGTAGCAAGCGCCGGCTAGTGGGCGGATCGGAGGAGAATGGAAGAGGCTTTTGCTCAGTAGTGGGTGCATTCATGTTGTCGATGATGATGATAGCAAGCTCCCAAGTTTCACTAAGTCTGTGTTTCAATTCTAGACATCATGGTAGACAGTCTACGCTGAAACCTTAGAAGACAGCACGCGCTCATGTTGTCCGAGAAGTGGAAGGTGTCTGCATGTCGTCTGCGCGACGAGATACCACCTCGCGTCGAGAACAGGAAGCTAAAATTAACGAACGTAACAGTTATTTCTTTAGCTTCTTTCATGTTCAAATCTAAGAAAATTGAACGTTACCGACATTGAGCGTCTGAAGCAGCATCTACTTGTGTGCATACGACCATTCCTGCAAAACTCGAGCTATCCGATCAATTCGATGAGCTACCATTTTGTTTGTACAGCAAGGTAGCCTGCATCGTTTTGGTCTGCGACGTCGCCTTTTCGATGCTGCCTACTTTTACGGCTACATTGACAATTGGAATGGGACCTAAAATGGCCTATGTCCACTTATCTGTCTATTTAGCCATCTACGGTGAGTATTGGAACACATGTGTTCCACACTATGAAACTCGTGGTTGATGCCCCTAGGAGTCTACTACCTCGCGGAATTCACGAAAGATGTGATTGGTGCAGGGCGAGAAAGGAGAACCGGGAATCAAGGGTGAACCGGGAGCGTCCTTCAAGAGGGAGGACTTCGTTACAGAAGTGAGCGTGAATGTCATTCTTCGTCGTAGTAATCTTCACAACTTGAAGTTGCAGTAGCACGTGGCGGGCTTCGGGCAAAGCATCATACGTTTTGAATATATGCAGTGTGTGACGTTTTTTTATTCTTCACTTTTTCTGGATGTATTGCTGTTCGAGAAGTTTCGCCTAATATAGATCTTGTGACTACACGAGAGATGCGTCAACAAGCCGGTGAAGAGAGGGACGTGGTTGATTCAATTGTGCTGTGTGTTTTGCAGAAAGGCGAGAAGGGTGATCCTGGCCGTCGTGGAAAGCGTGGTCGTCCCGGTCCCCCAGGACCACCTGGGCCTCCGGTATGGTTTTATCCATGCTCTATAGTCCTACAAAGTTGAACATAAAAAGTTGATCGATATATTTATCGAAATAGTGCCTGTAACTCGTCCAGCACTGACACTTCGTTATTATTCTGCAGAGTGACTTTACTGTAAGCTCTATTTTGTAAAAGTATGGTGTCTGAATTTTTTTTTTCGAATGTAGATATCCTAGTGCTTCGCTGAACGCAAAATGCTTTGCGAGCCGTTGCCTAGCAACAATCTAGCCACAGTGGCGTGCCATCTGGATTCAACCTCGCCGAGTCGCGCATGCGCCAAGGAGCAGTCGCTACCAAGCCACGTCCACCGACGGAGACAGTCCGTGCATCTATTGTTGCGCAACCACCGCGCCGAGCTCCGCCTACTGGCGGGTGTGACATCGGCATAGCCACGCACGGCCTTGCGCCGTAGCTGGTGGGACGTAGTATGGTCGCGCGTGGCCACCGTGACATGGCATAAACGCGTGCGGCCTGTGCACTCTAACCGGGTCGCAGCTAGCACAGACGACGCATAGATGAGCTATAGTATTGTACGTAACAGTAGGTATGACTAGTGGTCTAGAGCGGTGGTTTAGTGGCTAAGGTACTCGGCTGCTCACCCGCAGGTCGCGGATCGAATCCCAGACACGAGGTCTCACCCTCGGGCTAGCAGGGACAATGCCTGGCGAGCATAGGCAGCCCGCCGGTCGGCTACGTGATTGAGGATTAAAAGAGCGCCGCTCCCCTGGCAGCTCTGGCGCCGGTCACAACAGCTTCCCCGTCGCCAGATGAGTCGCCGAGGCCATCAGTCACCGCTGCTGCTCGATGGGACGACGAAAGGGTCCGTAGTTGAAAGTCAGGAACTCACTTTTGCTTGCCACATGGTCTGGGTAATTTGCCGAAACAGCGTCTGGCAGACTGCGCGCCGAAGGGATTGAGAGCCTCCCCAGTAGACCGGCTTACGCACAATGGCGTCTGCCCAGACGAATTGCCGGGCCAAACTTAACAGTACGTAGCCACCAGTGGCACATGCCCACTCTAGAGCGGGTATGTGCCACAGGGGTTGCGAAATGGGAGGTGGTGGTACTTGGAGTGTTTACTAGATGGGCGCATGGACGTACGCATGGGCAGACGGACAGACGCATGAATTGACGCGCGGACGGACGAAAGCACGGACGGACGAAAGCACGGACGGACGAAAGCACGGACCACGGCCGGGCTGACGGACGCTTCGCCCAACTCATCATTATTCACTCAGTGGATATTCTGTGTTCTTTTTTAAAATAAAATAGGCGTAAAACATTTTATGCGATACTTTTATAACTTAGATTTTAATGACGTCATGATACGCGGAAGACCCGGTGCCAGCCAGGCGGTAGAGAAATGTGGCCGCTAAACATGCGCTTGTCACAAACGTATTAGTATGTGCCGCCTTCCAATAATCGATGATTTCTCGATCGTATACGCTTGTCAGAGATCAGCCGTTTTTGGAATGGCAATTTGATTTTTTTAGTGAGGTGATGTGTGATTTTAGGTTGTAACATTTCATTGTTGCTAAGACGTATCGCAATCCTTATTTCCTTTGCCTACTGAAGTGTTGGGCTGCTAAGCTGATCGACCAAGGTCCAGTTCCAAGCATGGTGGAAGGAAACGGCTAGGAGGGAGCATTGTGCAATGCGATTGAAGGATTTAAAAAATGGAAAGGGTGAAAAATTAGCACTTCGAGCACGTGCATGCCTTGCGTAAGGGCACATTTCTTGATTAAAGTGAAATTAAGGTCTGCGACAAGTTCCTTTAGCATGAGTTGTAATGAATACACTCTATACCCACCTGTGATACTGTAATTTTTCTTTGTGTACATCTTGACTGCCATTTAAAGTTTAATCTCCACACTGATCACCTCAGAAAGAAAACTGCATTCGGAATTCGGGCTATAATAAAATCTCGTGAAGTTTTTCATATAAACGTACTTATGTCTCTGTATTTCGCCTTCATTCATTCCCATATCATGTATGGTATCGCTGCTTGGGGAAACACGTATGACTGTCATCTATCACCCATTCTGAACATACAAAATCAGGCGATCCGCATTATCACTAATAGCTCACGATACTCCAGTGCAGGCCATCTACTCCAAGACAACAAAATCCAACCTGTTCGTAAGTTATTTTTTTATAGCATAGCCGTTCTTCTGTTTCAATTGCGCAATGCACTGCTACCGTTTGAGTTCATTGATTCAGTTTTCTTACAAAACAACAATGTAACCAGATTTGCAATGAACCTTAACTTTTTGCTACCCGCGTCGCGCACAAATTATAGAAAAATGACCACTGCCTTTGCGGCCATTACTTTTTGGAATAACATGCCTCTTTCTGTTAAAACGATGCCCACATTGTCATCATTCAAAAAGTCGCTTAAAAGTTTTCTGTTAAATTATTAGCTGCCTGTATATGGGCTTTTTGGGGGCTTTACGTTTTTGGTTATGCCATTTAGATCATTGCATTTCGATTGACAATGTCCGCCACTGAACGAGATGTTTTTTTTTCGTTCTTTCTTTTTTCTTTCCTTATTTGCCTTGCTTTTTGTTGCCTGATGTGTCACTTAGCCTATAATAATTACTTATCACTCTACATTGTATAATTGATTTCCATTCACTCGTTGCTTGTTAACTTGATCTGATTTATTGATTGTTATAATGCATCGAGGGTCCCGTTACAGTTTTTAACTTTGGGACCCTCGTCTGTATATTAATATTACTGTACTACTTTTTTCAAATGAATAATAAACTGAAACTGAAACTGAAGAGAAATGTAAACTTTTAGGGGCGAAGCTCCTTAAGGCGTGGGTCTGTCCATCCCTTGTATGAATGTGTGTAGTAGTACGTAGCCACTGGTGGCACATACCCGCTCTAGAGTGGGTATGTGTCACAACGGATGCGAGATGGGAGATGGTGGTACTTGGAGTGTTCACTAGATGCACGCACAGACGGGTGGACGTACGGACGGATGGACGCACGAACAGACAGATTGACGGGTGGACGGACTCACGGGTGGACTCGTGGACGGATGCGTGGACGGACGCATGGATGGACGCACGGATGGTCGCGCGGACAGACAGAAGCACGGACGGGCTGATGGACGCTTTGCCCCACTCATCATCATTCACTCCGTGGATATGCTGTGATTTTTTTTATGTATAACCTAAAGACATGCTTGTGATTTCATGTTTGCAACTTGGCCAGCAAACGATTCAGGAGTTCCTACACAAAACAAGACTGTCTTTACTTGCAGAAGGGTATCTTTAAGTACCATAACAATATCGGTGGTCGAACAATCAAAGGGCGCCCTACCAATGGACGATTGGTTCCAGGAATACTTTTGCGAGATTTTGTACGAATATGACGTGAGAGGCATGTGTGTTTACGAGTGGCACCCTGTTTGGGAAGACTTTCTTTCACGAGTTTCCAAAACGTCCGAAGTCGCTAAGGCTTCCGGCGCTAAATTCACGCAATACCTCGCGAGTGTGTCTGTGAAGGAATAAGTAATCTGGAAATTCTTCTTCAGTTTAGTTTCGGTTGACTAAAGCTTCCGCATGCTGTGGAAGTACGCTCCGTCGGTAAGCTTTCGACGCGTTTCTTCTTTCAACACGATAGCGTGAAAGGGCTCGTTTCTCTGAAATTACAGCATCGGCGGTTGTGAGCGAAAAAAATAATCTTTTCGTGACCGAAAAAACGACAAAAATGCGAATAAAATAAACTAAAAAATTCTGGGTCTGAGTGGGGATTTAACCTGGGTGTTCTACCATGCAGTCACGTGTCTGCTTGTGAATGCAGTGAAGGAAACTTCCACGCTTTACGAACACACCCGCCCTGTATATAGATGCTTCTCAATACAACGTGAAATATTGCCGCAATAGTGCGTGGTACAAGCGTGCATTGCCATGGAACGTCAGAACATGGGGTTATCATCACGACTTCATGGTTTAAATCCAGTCTCCCACTACAAAAGACACGCGCGCTACTGCACCCAACGTGGAGAGGGTGCGTAGGAAGTTCGAAAAGATTTCATACTCTAAGCGTTTGAAGTACACACTAGGAGCATAATATCGCGTTCGACTCTTATAGGTGAAGATTGAGGGTCCCCCCATTTTCTTTTTTTTTGCAGGGTGCTTTCGTGAAGGCGGAAAGCCTACACCGCCCACCTCGCTACGAGAGGGGCCCTCCGGGTCAAAAGGTGAGCGCCTTCTTGGCGCTGTTTCATTCTAAAGAAAAAAAAACAGAACGCAATTCAATTCAAACCGTGCATCTATCTGAGACGTGTTTAGAAAATTGTTTTGACAATTTCGAGTACTTGGTACTCAACTATGGGAGAGCACTGATCGCCGTCCCGCAAAGGTTGCACCTAAGCTCGTCACTAAATGGTGGAGGCGTTTGTATTGTGTAGTGTGAATGGGTATGGAAGGGATAATCGACAACCACTCACAACAACTACTAACTCGGGAGGACGTTTTATTGAAACCACTCGCTTGTGGCACGGATTCAAAACTCCATAAGATGTTTTTAGCAAGGATAGCTTTTTTTTCAAGAAGTTGTCCTGTTTGTTATCGAATTCAGGACCAAACCATTTATTGAGGCCCCGCCGCGGTGGTCTAGTGGCTAAGGTACTCGGCTGCTGACCCGCAGGTCGCGGGTTCGATTCCCGGCTGTGGCGGCTGCATTTCCGATGGAGGCGGAAATGTTGTAGGCCCGTGTGCTCAGATTTGTGCGCACGTTAAAGAACACCAGGTGGTCGAAATTTCCGGAGCCCTCCACTACGGCCTCTCTCATAATCATATGGTGGTTTTGGGACGTTAAACCCCACAAATCAATCAACCATTTATTGAGAACTCATTTCCAATAGAGGCTCGATCTTGAACATTTGATCATTTATACAATCATAAACACAATGAACGTACCATCACACGCCCCCAAACCAGCGTGCCTTTCGCCACCGTTTTCTTTATGTGCACATAAATCAACGTACAGGGACGTTCTTGCATGATGTGCCAACTGGATATGGCCTCCGCATCGGCTGGAAACAACTCGTGACCTCAAGATTACAGCTTTACGCCGTAGCCGATGTGCTATATACTCCAGCGTCTACCCTCCATCTTTCAGGGCGAGTGCGGTCCACCGGGACCACCTGGACCACCTGGCGCACCGGGACTGCCCATGCCCTGGGTGGACGCCACCAGAAGCATCCTTGAGGAGAATAAAGGTGAGTGCTGGCAGAGTTTTTCTTCTCAACCGAGTTGCTGTTTGAGGGGCCATTCATGCACCAACTATCCTTAAAGCTGTGTACTTACATGAAAGCATTTAGTTGTATTTTTGCTTCAAATGAAAGGCCAGTCCCTGAGCAGTCAACAAAATGTACTGCTAAGCGTGAGACCAAACTGAAAAAGTAACAGCAGCTTGCTTTTTAAGGATATTGTCAGTTTCTACTGTACCATGGCGTAATAATACGGTGCGACTTTCTCGGCAAGCCTTCCCACGGCCGGTCTGCACCATGGCTCCGTCGGTGATGCACAAACGGTCAGTTTGATGCACTGTTGGCTACTAACATTCGACATTTAATTTCGAAAAAAAAACAACGTCACCCTCTTAAGTCAGTGCAGGGCATGCACAAAATCATCCGCGCCAATCTTATCCACGGAAGCCACCATTGTTCAAGAAAATCGCACTCTTTCCTGGTTGAAAACACAGAAGGTGCGCTTACACATTTTTCACCCCAAAGTTTGTCAGTGGCCATCTCTGTGCCACTGTCTTTGCTTCTTCCCGTGCTTTCCTCATTTTCGACGTTTTAGTGACTTGGAGTTTATGAATATTCCTCGGTCAACCCTCCGTGCTCAGACGAGGACTCGGACTACGGCGACGAACCCCCAGTGCCGGAGATAGGTCCCATGGTGAGGAAGACGGTGGCATGGAGAGACGCCGCTTCATTCCTCAAGTCGGCGTCGTCACAGCCCGTGGGCAGCCTAGCGTACGTCATGGAGTCCGACGAGATGCTCGTCAAACTCTCTCAAGGTTGGAGGAGACTGATGGTGAGACGTTGGGAGCACTTGAAACGTTTATTAGAGGGACACAAAAGAGAAAACGATTCATTGGTTTAGATTAACAAACTGCACTCTGAAAAACTCTGTCTTATGTTTCACTATCGTAAGCTCATTAATCGCGGAGAAAATCAAGGTTGAAGTTTCATGATTAAATTTCGTGGCAAAGTCTCCGCTCGTGACGTAGGAAATTTCAAAATGCAGAGTCGGTACTTTCATGGCATTTGCTCGATGAAGTTCAATGAAACAACTTCGTATGCTAAGTATGTAACCCACAGATTATTATGTGCTTCATTTTATCCATTGGAAGCTACGCAGGACCCAGTATATGCCTCCGAAATTTCTCGCGTCACGGTGTTTGTTGCGGGGATCTCACGGTGGCGTCGCCACCAGCATTTTGTTTTCGCGCGTTTTCTCGCTTACAAAGCGCCGTGTCGCGGTGAGTGTGGTGTTTTCGGGACTGTGACTTTATATACTCTACTAATACGCGATAAGTTTATTTTGCACTTTAGTGCCCTATTAAAAGAAAACAAAGGGTCAGTTTGAGATTAAGATAGATTTACTAGCGCAAAAGGACGAAACACCAACACACATGATCACATCACATCACATCACCTTATTTCCTTAAAGACTCCTCAAGGGGGTATTACATGAGAAATGGGTATACAGTGTAGCCAGATGAATTCACTCGGTAAGAAAGTTTGTTACATTGTCAAAGAAGTTTGGTGGATTAGTAATGGCTGCAATGGTGTGGGAGAGGCCATTCCAATCTGTTGATGCTCGGGGGAAAAACTGAGAGGAAAAATGTGAGGGTGCGAGCACGTGGGCGTGACACTTGCAGTTCATGTCTGCGGCGACACACAGCTCTGGATTAGCCACTGATTTGTTATTTGGAACGCAAGGCCCATTTCAAGACACTCATTGTAGCAACAAAAAGATCACACGATGAAAAGAAGCGATGAAAAAACCACGTACTATGTGCTTGCCGATAAAGACAATCAACCAAAGGCAACATCGCGCAGTCGATTACTCTGAAACCTTATAGTATACGCCCCATATTACGAAAGAATAGGAAAAGAGAGTTGATCTTTAAACCAACCTGCAAACACGCTGAAGCCACACAAAAAAAAAAAAAACCTCGCCACTTAAGTCAGTGCCGGGCATGCACAAAATCACCCGCGCCAATCTTATCCACGGAAGCCACCACTGTTCAAGAAAATCGCACTCTTTCCTGGTTGAAAACACAGAAGGTGCGCTTACACATTTTTCACCCCAAAGCTCTGACTTACTGGACCTGCTCTACGCCATCTACAGACGCCAACAACATCTCTCGCAAGTGTACCCCGTCCTTGGACTACAGTGACCGTGCTTCCACCTTTCCTGTCTCTCCTATCCCCTCAGTTTGTTATCGCTTCTTCTTCCTCTTTTCTACACCTTTACTCCTACCCTTTTTATCCCTCCGCACCCCCATCCCTTGTGAGCTACTGTGGCGGTGTCGCTCATCGAAGCAGACAATAACGGGGCTCACTTTTCTTTTCCTTTCTCTTTCTTAAGAATCACTCACACACCCCAAAGTTTGTCAGCAGCCATTTCTGTGCCACTGTCTCTGCTTCTTCCCCTGCTTTTCTCATTTTCGACGTTTTAGTGACTTGGAGTTTGTGTATATTCCTCGGTCAACCCTCCGCGCTCAGACGAGGACTCGGACTACGGCGATGAACCCCCAGTGCCGGAGATGGGTCCCATGGTGAGGAAGACGGTGGCATGGAGAGACGCCGCTTCATTCCTCAAGTCGGCGTCGTCACAGCCCGTGGGCAGCCTAGCGTACGTCATGGAGTCCGACGAGATGCTCGTCAAACTCTCTCAAGGTTGGAGGAGACTGATGGTGAGACGTTGGGAGCACTTGAAAGGCTTATTAGAGGGACACTAAAGAGAAAACAATTCATTGGTTTAGATTAACAAACTGCACTCTGCATGAGAACTCTGTCTTATGTTTCACTATCGTAAGCTCATTAATCGCGGAGAAAATCAAGGTTGAAGTTTCACGATTCAATTTCGTGGCAAGGTCTCCGCTCGTGACGTAGAAAATTTCAAAATGTATTGTCGGTACTTTCATGGCATTTGCTCGATGAAGTTCAATGGAACAACTTCGTATGCTATGTATGTAACCCACAGATTATAATGTGCTTCATTTTATCCATTGGAAGCTACGTAGGACCCAGTATATGCCTCCGAAATTTCTCACGTCACGGTGTTTGTGGCGGGGATCTCACGGTGGCGTCGCCACCAGCATTTTCTTTTCGCGCGTTTTCTCGCTTACAAAGCGCCGCGTCGCGGTGAGAGTGGTGTTTTCGGGACTGTGACTTTGTATACTCTACTAATACGCGATAAGTTGTTTTTGCACTTTAGTGCCCTATTAAAAGGAAACAAAGGGTCAGTTTGAGATTAAGATAGATTTACTAGCGCAAAAGGACGAAACACCAACGCACATGATCACATCACATCACCTTATTTCCTTAAAGACTCCTCAAGGGGGTATTACATGAGGAATGGGTATACAGTGTAGCCAGATGAATTCACTGGGTAAGAAAGTTTGTTACATTGTCCAAGAAGTTTGATGGATTAGTAATGGCTGCAATGGCGTGGGAAAGGCCATTCCAATGTTGCTGCTCGGGGGAAAAAATAAGAGGAAAATATGATGGTGCGAGAGCGTGAACGTGACAGTTGCAGTTCATGTCCGCGGCGACACACAACTCTGGATTAGCCACTGATTTCTTATTTGTTGCTTGGAACGCAAGGCCTATTTCAAGACACTCATTGTAGCAACAGAAAGATCACACGATGAAAAGAAGCGATGAAAAAAACTACGTGGCATGTGCTTGCCGGTAAAGACAATCAATCAAAGGCAACATCGCACATTCGGTTAATCTAAAACCTTGAAGTATACGCCCCCTATTTACGAAAGAATAGGAAAGGAAAGTTGATCTTTAAACCAACCTACAAACACGCTGAAGCCAAAAAAAAAAAAAAAACCAAGGCAACCACACAAGAATGTTAAGAAGAAATGGGAGACCCTTGAGCTTCGTTAAAAATGTTAAAAGTAATATGAAAAATAAAAAAAAATGTATAAAACACTGTGTAAAACTACTATTGAAAATGCATGCGCAGTATAGGTAGCTGACTTCCTCAGCTTAATCGTGAACCAGCTCGCCCAAGCAGCAGTTTTAGAAGGGTCAGATTGATATGATAAATTACACTGTGAAAAACTCTGCTCTCGTTAATTTCACCACCGTAGATTCAGTGACAGAACATAACGTGCAGGTCGAAGCTTCATTTTAAAATTTCGCGCTAGATTCGCGCAAGTGACGTCACAAATTTCAGTGTCTTTTTTTTGTTGTTCCTATTTTGAAGACACTGGCCACACGAAACTTTCCTAAACTTGGCACGTTTTGTCTGTGGCCCCTTCAGAGGACAATGAACTTCATTTCTGCCAATTAGAAATTGAGTAGACCACACCTTTAAATATCTATGACGTCATGCTGACTGGTACGGCAATTCCAAGGCGCGTCGTCACCACCATTTTTTTTTTTTTTGCGCGTTTTCTCGCTTACTAACCTTCTTTCGATAAGAGTGGCGCTTTCGGCAGTGTGAAAGAGCAGATTGCTGAAACACGATATTTTTTTTTCTTTTTAGTGTCCCTTTAATACCCTACAGTTGTTTATACAGGTATAATTATTTGACTTGATTTATTCATTTCAATTTACACATGTTCACTCAAGGAAACATGCTCGCTACAAGATTAGCGAATCAGGCAGGTTGGCGACAAAAAAAAAAAAAGTCCCGCAAAAGCAGTATGAGGCACACTCACCCTGCTTATAAGTATGGGCCCATTCATACGAAACACATTATACATTACCGAAACAGTGATAATAGAAGTGTTATCTTACGAAACTGGAAAAAGACAAGAAATTGCGCTGTTTACTTTGGCGAAAAGAATTAGAGTACATATTCGTTATTTATATGAATTTCGGGTGCTTCATGTGTGTTCCTTTATTCAACCGTAACGATATATATTACCATAAGCTATGTGCCAGTTGTGGCCAGAGATGGAAGATAACAAGCAACAGTCTTTGAGAATTAAATGACTTCAAGCCCAACCACACACTTACTATCTTGAGTTCAGAAAACTTGAAGTGAGGCACGCAATATTAAAGATTTGTGTATACCCACTTGTTTGCGGACAATAAGACTTATCTTGTGGATGTACTCCCCAAGCAGTTTATTCAATTCTTTTTAAGCAAATCTATAATATCCAACTGCAAATTAAATGAAAAGATAATAATAAATAGCTATGATCAATAGTATATACACAAAGCAAGATCTATACCAGGAACCCCAATTATCTTTCAAGGAAGTAAAACTGTAATAAATCACTGAAACTTTTACAGTGTTTAACAAATAATTGTGAATCGCTCCTGAAGGCGGCAGCTCTGTTCCTGTGCTCCGATCAGCTGTCATGTTTCTCTCTTGTTCCAGATTGGTCCACCACCGACTTGGATTGACGACAAGAGTGGACGGATGAATGGGAAAGAAATACGAAGTGACTGAGCGTTAAAAAAGCGGTGTGTCTTTCTTAAATACGGCGTTTCGGCTGTGATTGATTGCTATAGGCCTACAATTAAAGGCTTTACCTGAGTGCTTACTTCTTGGCTGGAAACTCAAGAACTTCGGGGAGTTTGTGATAGCAGAGTGAACAAAACCGCTCTGTGAAGTTTGTCTTCAATTGGTTAATGTTCCGTCAACTGTTGAGTTATTTGTACAATAACTACAGAGTTATCTGGTACTGGCTAGTGCAATAAAATATTCTCAGTATGTCTGGCCGAGGTCGGAAATGGACTGAAGTTAGGTGCCAAAATCAGCGATCTCTCTTTTAGCATCCCCGTGTCGCTAAAAAGGCCTGGTTAGACGAATTTCTTTTGTCGGTCGTCTGGTCGCGGGTTGATAAAAGTCGCCGCCATAATAATAAAAAAAAAAACGATAGGGGCCAGGGGCGTAGCCAAGGTGGGGGTAGAGGGGGGTTCAAATCCCCCGCCCCCTTTCGAAATTTGGTGGTCGTAGTCGTTAGAAGAAGCAGAAGGTGCCTAATTTCTGCAGCCCGGTTCGGAGCACGGCGCAGCGCCTTCGAAATGTTTTCAGTTTTGCTTGCGTATATGTACACGCGCACATAAAGTAAAGAACGGTGGTGGATACCTACTTAAAGTAAGGTTGAACCCCTCCCCCCTCTCCCACTGGAAAAAGAAAAAAAAATTCTCGCTATGGCTCTCATAGTGTTTTCCTTCCTCCATGGTATCCACAAACATTTCCAAGCGACGCAGTTCATACGTAGTAGTACGGTCCCCTAGAACATACATAGTAGTAGTAAAAACGCGGCCTCGGCGAAATTGGCGCGGAGCGTTCGTCTGCCGTCTTGAAGGCTGCAATTACAACCGTTTTTGTTGCAAATGTAACCGTCAGATGGCAGCACCCATTCCAACAAGCGCTGTTTAGGGGCGGTTTTTGTTATGGGCAGATGATAGAACAAAACTCATGTTGTCAACGAGTGAAATTGCTTGGTCTCGGTCGTCAGTGGTTGCGAGGCGTCGTGACGTGCTCTCATTTGCTCAGCCATTCGTCGAGCGCCTGTTGGCGGAAGATTTCAAAGCGCGCCATTCGACTGACGAAGATCGCTTCTTTGCCCCTTCACGTCGCGGTTCCCATTTTCGGAATTTCGTCTGAAGGCAGTAATAGTTTCGACCGTCTTAGTAAATAAATTAAGTACCTACTGAGGTTCATCCTTTGAGCATCGCATTGCACTTAAAGAGGGCTGATTCTGTGAAGATACCAGGACATATGTAAACGTATAATGGGCGGCTAGGTGTTTCATTTTTGCTAATGAGAGAGAAATAGATAGAGAAGGGTGGAGGTCACGTGATCATACAATAATCCTGCTCTGTAATTGTTACACTGCGTTACTTTTGTTTTGTGCCAACAAGCAAACACTTGAAGACACTGAAAGTGAGTCCTCGTCCGGGGGGCAACACTCAGAGAAACGTACGTGAACTTTTTTACGACGCCAGCTCGGATAAAGTACCGATTAGTGCGCTCGTTTCCTCACCGTTGCCGTGGCCTAGTGGTCTGAAGCGTCCGCCTCGGCATCGGGAGGTCGTGGGTTCGAATCCCCGCTCGCGCGGCATGTGCGGGTGCGTTTGAACTCCAGGGCCGCGCGCATACCCGGCGCGTTTTCTTCTGATCGGGTACAGGGGGACCCGCTGACCCGTGACGCCGGGTTACCGTCAAGCGGTCCTTGTCACCCCTGGGAGGGACGGGGTCCCGAAGCCCCTCGGCTCTCCAGGCCGCGCAGGGCATTGCGGGGGCCTCGCGAAAGAGGCCCCTCGCCTGCACGGGATAGACCCCCGGATTGAAACGCCGCTGCACGAGGGCGCTGCGGAAGTACGCCGCCGCAAGTCGCACTTGGGGCCGGTCGCCGCGGCGGCAGGAAAAAGCCGGTGCCCCGACGGGCGGGACTCCGGGTGCGGTGTCTCGTGAGGCGACTAGGCCTCTCTCCCCGTCCCTTTTTGCTTTTTTTTTTTCATTGCGGCCCACGGCGCAGTAGTATGCAGATTCCAAGCGCGACGTCAACCCCCCTGGCCCCATCTTTCCATTAGAGCAGGACAGTAAAGGCACACGCAACAACCACTCAACAACCACTCGCTGTCAGTTAACTTATGTTTATTGCCCCGCCGCGGTGGTCTAGTGGCTAAGGTATTCGGCTGCTGACCCGCAGGTCGCGGGTTCAAATCCTGGCTGCGGCGGCTGCATTTCCGATGGAGGCGGAAATGTCGTAGGCCCGTGTGCTCAGATTTGGGTGCACGTTAAAGAACCCCAGGCGGTCGAAATTTCCGGAGCCGTCCACTACGGCGTCTCTCATGATCATATAGTGGTTTTGGGACGTTAAACCCCGCATATCAATCAAATCAACTGATGTTTATTGCGGCGACGAACGTAAATACATCTACGCGTCAGCCCTCGTCCATATAATAAACAACAGGAATAAAAACAAAGAAGGAAATGAGCCTACGAAAAGAGCCTATTCCAGTTCACCTTTTTTGCAGTTTTGACATAAAATGGAATTTTCACCTATAACTTACGTTTCAGCGCAACTTTTCGAGATTCCTGCGGCAAATGAAGATGACTACTCATGCAGTTTTGCGAATTCTTGGCGAGTCTCCAAGTTTCATACACTTTGCCTGCACCCCCCCCCCCCCCCCCCCCCCCCGCTCTTTTCTCCACCTCGCGCTTGTCGGCGTCATGATTTAGCGAGACCAGTTAATGTTCTTTTGAGAACTCGACTATCGTTAATTTTGCCTTCGTAGGTTCATAAAGAGACACCGCAGTGAACAAATGAGTCTGTTTAGATTCAACTTTTACGAAAGCCCGCTGATTTTCATTTCGATTGAGTCAAACGAAGAAACGAGCACTGGAACTTTCTTTCCTTCATTTAGTTTAGATGGATAATGTGTATCTTCAAAGTATTGCATATGAAGTGTTTTTTGATATTTTTGTGGAATGGGCTAAACGAAATTTTCTGAAACTTGGTCTACGGTACCCTTAAAGGACAACATGCTTTAGTTTCATTGATTAGGAACTGTTATGAACCTATTCTACACCGTCAAGATGTATGACGTCACGGTGATTGGTACGGGAACTTCAAGGTGGAGTCGCCAGCTTCATTTTCGTTTGTTTTTTTTTGCAAAATTTCTTGCTTACGAAGTGCCTTTGCGCGGAAAGCTTGAGGTGCGGTGGATTGTCAGAGTAATTTACAAATGTTATAGAAAATGGTTTTCGTTTTAGTGTGTCCTAAATGGCCACTAAAGTGTAACTAAGAGTCAACGCCTGCAGGTAATTTGTTCTTTCAAAACTGTGTTACTGTTAATTTCATCATCGCAGGTTAATCAGTAGGTACAAAAAAAAAAAGCCAAAATCAACTACGTGGTCTCCTGGTCGTTTTGTTATTTATTTTATTTTGTTCACATTTCACCTACATCGCCGTGAGGCATTACGTAGGGGAGGTACACATAATAATTTGACTACATAGTTTTCAATCGAAACAATAGATTCAACAAATAAAACAGCACTAAAAATATTTTAAGAGAAGAAAAAAAACACTCGAATATTGCGAAGCGAAAACGTCACAGTCATGCATTTGTAAACACCTACACGCTTCGAGACAGAAAAACCATTCTTAGTGGCAGTGATATTGTAGCAGTTGTTACAAGGAAGAAAAAAAGGATTCATTATCAGTTTCATTGACGAGATCATCCGGTAGACGGTTCCATTCCTGTATTGTTTTTACGAAAAAAAGAACTACCGAAAGAGTGGGCTTTGTAGCGGTATTCTAATATTTTTCGTGGATGTTCTTGACGATTAGAGACGTACGTTGGTGTGAACAGATAATCAAGAGGGTTAATGGCATTTCCATTATAATACATACAATTAAGAAATTTAAGCCTCAGTTTCTGCCTCCTTACCATCAGTGTCTCCCATTTCAATGCTCGTTTCATTTCTGTGATGCTTGCAAAGGAATTATAGTTGTTGCTAACAAATCTGGCTGCTTGGTTTTGAACTTTTTCCAATGCGTCAATCAAGTATTGCTGATGGGGATCCCAGATTACGCAAGCATAGTATATGTACTTTGGAAGTACAGATTACGCAAGCATAATCTAGCATAGGTCTTACATACATGAGATAAAGGGTTTGTTTCACGGTCTGTGAAGCTTGCCTAAAATTTCTGCGTATGAAGTATAGCATCCGGCCTGCCTTGGTCACAGTTATGTCAATGTGTTTATTCCACTTGAAATTGTCGGAAAAATAGACGCCCAGGTACTTATAATACGATTCATTGCTAATTATTGAATTATTTATTTCGTATGTTGTGTCTAGTTTACTAATCCGGTTGGTGAATGATGCACAGCAACATTTACAGACGTTTAGACTGATTTTCTATTTTTGGCACCACGTTGATATTCGGTACAGATCATGGTGCAGAATTTCAGCATCTTTGTGCGATTTAATCACTCTGAACATTACACAATCATCTGCGAATAACTTAATGGGAGAGGTAATACCATCGACAGTGCTATTAATATAAATCAGGAAAAGCAAAGGTCCTAATACGCTCCCCTGTGGTACACCGGACGTAACGGTTACCGCAGATGATTTTGATCCTTTAAGCCCTACTTTCTGCTGTCGATCGTTTAGATAGTTCTTTACCCAATTGATAACTTTAAGATTTATGTTTGCAGAGAGCATTGCAAATACTAACAGATTGTGTGGGACGGTATCGAAGGCTTTCCGGAAGTCAAGGAACACTACATCTACTTGAGTGCCACTGTCTATAGATTGTGCGATGTAATGCTGAAATTCGACTATAGTTGAGTTACGCATGAGCGTCTATTTCTGAAACCATGCTGAGATGGAGTGAGGAAGTTGATTGACTCTTGGTGTTTAACTGTTTCACTGTATATGATGTGCTCAAATAACTTACAGCAAATTGCTGTTAGCGAGATGGGCCTGTAGTTTTCGACAAGCTTTTTCTCACCTGATTTATGAACCGGGATAACGTTTGCAACTTTCCAGTCATGTGGGACAACTCCAGTATTTAGT